GTAGTAAGCAATCCAAACTATTCAAAAAAAAGAGTAGTTAAACACATAATAGAATACAAATCTCTGTTCCTCAACATTACTGATATATAAGTGCTATACTCGTGCACTTACAGAATGGTAAACAGACTTCCTTGAAGTTGGGCAGCACAGACATCATTTAGTTGATGGCTCAACACATGGATAAAGGAAGCGCTTGAGAAAACAAAATGATGGGATTTCTCGACTTGTATGTTCCCCTTCATAGCTGCAACAAGTTCAGAATGTGGTTGTGTTTTCATTTTACCCATCACAGCGTCAGCAAGTACTACCAAATAAACAGATTCCAACAGGCCAAATTCGACGCAGAAATCAGCATGGCATGTTGCCGCTGCAGAGTCCTGACCGAGCAGCGTGACAGTTCCTGCTGCCGCTGCTGGATTTTCAGACCATTAGGCGAGACCTTGAGAACATATAACTGAAACAAGTTCAGAACGGCAGCAAGTTTGCCACAGCAGATCAGCTTTGCTTTGTGGCCGCTAGAAACTGAAAGAAAGTTCAGAACGGCAGCAAGTTTGACACAGCAAAATCTGAACCGTGCAGTGAGAGAGGCCCAGGCAGATTTTCATAATCATAAACTTGAAAACATTTGAACTTTGATTTTAAAGGAACTCAAAAAGTTTAAGCTAGTTTTGGTTGGGGTGCGCCTGCCTGGGCTGTAGTGCAACACCTAAAGGCCCCAGTGGCACTGTGATGGACCCTCCCTCACAAAAAATAAATTTAATATCGTTGTGGACACATAGCCCACATATAAGATATTAAACTGATAAGAACAGATACTACGCTTGATCTTAGCCAAAAGGCCGAGAAAGGTATGAGTTCTCCTGCTGCCCTCCCCCTCCTTTTATAGCTCACTCGACCGCCTCTCCCCTCTCCGCAAGCGAGGTGGTACTAATCGAAAGAGCAGAGAGAACCCTGCTGTGCTCGGGCGACCAGCCAAGCCAGCCTCCCGTTCGTTTGGGCTTCAACGGGCCCAATAAGAACACCACGGCAGCATCCTTTCACGGCCCACTGCTACGGCTTCCCTTTTTTCCCTGCTCGCTGTCTCTCTGACGTGTGGGGATGGGCGAGCCCAAAGGTGACCAGACCGCACCGCACGAGTCCGTCGCGCTCAAGTTCCTCCTCTCCCTTCTCCAACCGCGACCCCGCGTGTGCGTAGCGATCGATCGGGGCTGCCGACGATGTACGGCGCCATGAAGGACCAGGCGGTCGCGCTGGTCCGGCGGGCGGTGCAGGAGGACGACGCCGGCGACTACGCGGCCGCGCTGCGGCACTACGTGCAGGCGCTCGACTACTTCGCGGCGCACCTCAGGTACGAGCACAACCCCAGGGTCCGCGACGCCATCGCCGCCAGGCTCCCGGGGTACGTCGCCCGCGCCGAGGAGATCCGCGCGCTCCTCGACGGCAGCCCCGCCCCCTGCGGGCCCGGCGGCGACGGCGTGGCGGCGGCGGCGACCAGGAAGAAGGACCCCCGCGGCGGCGGGGACGAGGAGGACGAGCGCGCCTCGGAGCGGGCCAAGCTCCGCGCGGGGCTCCACTCGCTGATCGTCTCCGAGAAGCCCGACGTGCGGTGGAGCGACGTCGCCGGGCTCGACGGCGCCAAGCAGGCGCTGCAGGAGGCCGTCGTGCTCCCCGTCAGGTTCCCGCAGTTCTTCACCGGTACGTGATCAGGTGCCACAAGATTCTTCGTCGATTTCGCCTCAATTCGGAGGAAGCGCCTGTTTGTGACAGTTCACAATTAATTGCAGGCAAGCGGAGGCCGTGGAGGGCGTTCCTCCTGTACGGGCCGCCGGGGACGGGGAAGTCCTACTTGGCCAAAGCCGTCGCGACGGAGGCCGACTCCACCTTCTTCAGGTGATTGCTGCGATTCACTTATCTTCAGTTCCAATCATGTGCTCCAACAACAGAGACACATCACACATTGATTGACAATTATGTTCCAGACCAAACATGTCACATTATTTTTTGTTGCAACGCCGATGTTTGGAGCCAAGGATTGAATTATTTTGGGATTCCTTGGTGCTAATGCATATCATCACCATCCTGCCACTTATGGACTAATGCTCAGTGTTGAACTAACTGTAGTATATCTTCGTCGGATCTTCTTTCGAAGTGGATGGGAGAAAGCGAAAAGCTGGTCGCAAACCTGTTCGAAATGGCTCGTGAAAATGCCCCCTCCATCATCTTCATCGATGAAATTGATTCTTTGTGTGGCCAACGTGGAGAAGGTAATGAAAGCGAGTCTTCTAGGAGGGTTAAGACGGAGCTGCTCGTCCAAATGCAGGTGACTTCTTCAGACATTGTAGAACACTTGTCACTGTCTTCTTTTTACAAGAAACTAGCAGGATCGTTGTCCTTCAATCAAGTAGAATGCAGTGGCTCAGATTGTTGTCAGAAAAGCAACCGCATGCATATGTCTGTCTATAAATTTAGAATTTGCAAAGCAACTGCCATCGATCACGGTTTCTTCAGCAGTAACTAAACACATTTTTTTGCCATGCTTGTAATATTGCAGGGTGTTGGCCATAACGATGACAAGGTCCTTGTTCTTGCTGCTACAAACACTCCATATGCTCTGGATCAGGTAGACACATCTATCAAATATTCATATAATTACAATGTGCATATTTTCTGCGGGAAAAAAAATGCACTGCACATCTGTGTGGTGTGTTATCCTTGTAGTACTGAACCTGTGTCATACTTGTGCCCCAGGCCGTGAGGCGACGTTTCGACAAGCGCATCTACATTCCACTGCCCGACCTTAAAGCTAGACAACGCATGCTCAAGGTAATGAGCTGACCAAAAGAAAACTTCAGTCAACTCTACCCCACCTTGACATTGCTACCAACTTCAGTCACCCCTACAAGGTTCAGTTAACTCAGACTTCACCTTCGCAGGTCCATCTCGGCGACACCCCCCACAGCCTGACCAAGAGCGATTTCGAGAGTGTGGCTCACCGGACAGATGGCTTCTCCGGCTCGGATATCGCCGTCTGCGTATGCCACCATACCCCCCAGCCTTTTCTTGCACACAATAAACATATGGTGTCGAGACACTGATACTTCTCCCTAGCGCGCTTTTGACAGGTGAAGGACGTGCTGTTTGAGCCCGTACGCAAGACGCAGGACGCCATGTTCTTCTTCAGGTCAGAGGACGGCGGTGGCGGCACGTGGACGCCGTGCGGGCCAAAGCAACCGGGGGCCGTGCAGACCACCATGGAGGAGCTCGCGGCGGAAGGCATGGCTGACCAGGTAAACACTAAAATGCAGCGTGTTATTCTACCTCTCTCTTGCCTTGTTCATCTTTTGCTCAGGTGGTTTTTCCTATGGCGATGTAGATTACCCCGCCTCCGATCTCCAGGACAGACTTCGACAAGGTCCTTGCGAGGCAGAGACCGACGGTGAGCAAGGCCGAGCTGGGAGTGTACACGAGGTTCACCAGAGAGTTTGGGGAGGAGGGCTGACTTATACGTACACCCAAGATTTTACATTCTGTAAATGTTGCCATATGATTACTGACTTGAACATTTATAGGCCTGTATAGCTTTGTGAAGTCATAGCAATTCTTCTTGTACATGTTTGTTGGTTAGAAACATCAGAAATTGATTAGACAATGCGGTAGATTTTGTTGATTCTACTCACTCATGAGCACCTGGTGTCAACGGTGTCAGATGGTACTGTCACTAAAAACATCTTTACAGTTGAGCGCTTGTTAAGATTGGGCTTGTGAAGAAATTAGACATCCAGAACAGCAATTTTTCTACTTACAAACACCGTTAGGTTTAGGCTACACCGAGCCTATATGCATCATATTCCTGTGACATACAAACTTGCTGCAAAGACAATGTCACGCTTGATGGCGTTGGACGCGATCTCCATTTTCTTGTACAAAGCAGAGTTACCCATTATGGAAGCCGCATTCCTGAACTCCCTACATGTTTCATCCAACCGCACAATTGTTCTTACAATCAGCCCTTCAGATACATCTGTCAGCTCACATATGTCCGCGAAAGGCGTTCCCTGCACATCGACGCGGCAGAAAAAGAGTTAGAATTTTACACCCATCCCACAGAAAGAGTTCCTACCAAGATGTGTGTAGTGGTAATACCTTTGCCCATTCGTAGACAACCTCAACAAGACCAAACTTGAGATTATCACGTGCATACTCCTCAGGATCCACAGGCACCTCGTGCCTCTTTTGGAGCTGCCCTAAGCTGATTGCCGTGTCATAGAGCCTAATACGGAGACAGAGAGAAGAACAAAAGGTACTTGAGGTATGTATCATGTAAGCAATTACACCCTCTGTTCATTAATGTAAGAAACAGAGGTAGTACGTACATAGCAACGTTACCGGGTCCAAGACACAAGGTGTGCTGGAGAGATAAGCACTAGAAGAAGGCAACAAAAAGAAACTAACCTCTTTTTGGCATCAGCCAGTTTCGGAGTGAGAGATGGTTCTGACGCGTTCCGTTGTTGGAAAACAAATGCAGACATAATAGCCACAGCTTCTTCGGGTTCTAATTCATCCAACTGATTTTCAAATAAACACTCTGTTGATATTAACTCTTCACCAGAGTTCATTTCACATGCCACTCGGCCCTTAAGTTGCACAACAAGATCGGAATCGATGTAATGGATCTCCTTTAGTACATCGATCTGCACACATGGAAAAATAAAATTGTTATAACAGAAATCTTAAAGGGTCAAAATATTAATTGAGGTGCATGTGGTCCACACTCCAAGAAATGATATTTCCCTCTTGGTATCCTGGTTGTGGCCTTTTGAGCAATCCACGGTAACTAATCAACTATGACAGTTCCCAAACACAAACATGTGTAACTGGACCACTCCGCATGCCAATTATGATATTCTGTTTGGACTGAGCCTACATAAACACATTCCATGAAAAAACACTAGCCTCGTGATTTATACTCAAAACCAAACCGTTGTTTCAACTTTCAATACAGTAGGATAGAAACCAAAAACCTCATGTGCAGACCCAGATCAGAAATGATTGGACAACTTGCGAAATTTTAAGTTTCCCAATCCCCTTGGATTTTGTTGTGCCAGAAATAATAGATATGGTTGCTTAAGGAACTTACTTTTTTTTTCTAATCTACCCACAAGAACAAGAAAAAATATGTAAAGTCTTACTCTGCCTTGAAACTGTGGCATCTGCTGAAGTGCCTCATCTGACATTTGGTATTTCAGTTGATCCAGCTCATCCTTGTGCACCTTTTGATCCTTCATCATTGACTTATGTTCCTTCAATTTTATACAACCATGGCACTTGTTTTTAGACATTTCTTCCAGTAGGTTGTTATGTGCATGGTATCTTTTAACTTGATCCATGTCTTTCATTTTTAGGTCTGCATTGCATCGAAAATAAACAAGTCAAAACAGTTGATAAATCAAGTGCAGGAAGTGGAAAAAAGCATTAAAAGATTATTGAGCTCTTTCCAATCAAAAGAAACGCCTAAATAAATTCACAAAGGTTAGGTAAATCATCAAATGCTGATGTTACATCAGGGAACTCAAGATAAGTTCTACTGTACTAATAAGATAGTGAAAATTAAGAGTTATATGATCACATTTTTTTTGCCTTATCCTAGTTGCAACTTCAATAATTCTTGCTCAAGTCTTTTTAGCACAAACACCTTAGGAGTTTTTTTTTTCCGGGAAAACGCAGAGGACTTGCGTTTCATTGCATTGGTAAGATAGAGAGTTATTTACAATCCTCCTAAGAGGCAAAGTTCATGCCGGAGCAGAAGAAACTAGTGTACATCCCAGGTGGTGGGTAAGATGACCCGTAAGCCACGAGCACCAGCTCGTGCCCATTGCTCGGCCTCGTCCTTGATCCTAGAGACCAGGACTGGGACAAGAGGTTGGGCATTGTCGAAGATGCATTCGTTGCGCTGCTTCCAAATCATCCACGGCGTCAGGAGGGCAATGGAGGCGAGACCCTTGCGCATCGGTGTAGGCGTGTTTTGCTTGGCGTGGAGCCACCAGTCCATGAGAGTCTCCTCCTGATTTGGCCCTGCGATTGTCATCCTTAGCCAAGCTAGGATCTCATGCCAGGTTTGCTTGGCGAAAGCGCACTCCAGGAGCAGGTGTCGCATCGTCTCTGGCGCCTGGTCGCAAAGCGGGCACCGGGGCTGGTGCTGGAGGCCACGACGGGCGAGGCGGTCCGCAGTCCAGCACCTATCAAGGTTGGCTAGCCAGTGGAAAAATTTGACACGTGGCGGCGCCCAGCTTTTCCAGATGAGCTTCCAGGAGAAGCAAGTTGTGGATCCTTGGAAAGTGGCAAGGTAGCAGGAGCGTGCTGTATAGGTGCCAGAGGTAGTCCACTTCCAGACAAGCTGGTCGGGGGCATCCGAGAGTAAGAAGTGCTCAATCGCCTGCCAGACTTGCACATATTGGCCAATCTCGCTGATCCCGATAGGAGTTGAGGGAAGTATATGCCATGAGAACACATACACCATAGCCCTGTAACTTATTCTACTTACAAGATTGACTATAAACGAATTGGAACATACTAGATGAACACAATAATCAGCATGCAGACAAGGTCTTTTTTCTAATCTGATTTGACCTTTAATGGAATAGCACAAGATTATATATGGCAGTTTAGCCATCGCAGAATATCTGTACCTTTTATTGCATCTAGCGCAGGAGGATACTTTCCATCTGTCTGCTCTTTAATAAGCATTTGAACTGTTTTAGCGTAAGCTGTTTTGCTAATGTCTTCAAGGAGTCCGACTTGATCAATCTTTATTTTGCTTGTACATATACTAATAATCTCTTTATTCTCCACAGTTCTTACTTCAAAACCCATTCCAGATGCGTCCCCCGTGTATGGTAGCTTTATATTGATAACACCTGAACTTTTTCGTGTTCTAGAGGAAGAGAAAAAATCATCATCCATGCCACGTTTTCCTTTCGGCGGGATAATAAAATATCCTTGAGAATCCCCTGGCCCCTTCTCATTTTGACTGGATAAATTAGGGGCTAGCGCAGATGAAGTGCAATCACCGGTCAGTACAAGAACAACATACTGCTTTAGTGTAGCGGATGGATTTTTCACAATTACGCCAAGCAAGTGATCATCATCCTGCCATATAACATACACATTATAATGCGGAAAAGATGCCACTGTTGTGCCAGTAACCATTTGTAATAAAAGTAGGAGAACTAAGCAAGCGCAAAGCACCGCTTTATCCTCAAGCCTACTGTGGTTTATCAGAATCCATGGTAGAAGCGTAGAAAAGATGTTTCAATATTAGAACCTATATGAAATCAAGTAGATTAAATGGGTGATGTCTAGAAGGAACAAAGAACTGATTTAATTAAGGAACAAGTGAGGACCGAACCCAAGCTGTATATCCCACTAACCATGGTGCTACCAGTGAGCCCCTGGATGACCTCTAAATTCGATTCATTATATAGAAGTGACAGACTTCTTGCGTCGAATCAAATAAATTACATAGAAGTGCCACAAGAAGTCCACAGTTAATGTAGCTTGCTTAAAATGGCTGGTCAAAGTTCTTATCATTCAAACTGGAGGTGCTGAGAAAGAAGCTCAAAGGTGGTAAGCTAATTGGGGTCCAACAGAAATTTAGTTCAGTTTTGAATCAAGAAGATGCAGATATCAAGCTTAATTTCAAACACAAGATTGAATTTGGGCCAAGCTCAACTCCAGTAAGCTACTTGTGTGTATACCCATGTCTCCTGAATTGAAGGATTTCTCCCCTTGGGATGGGATCCTTATTTGTTTAATAAAAGGTCGCAAAATTGAATTCTTATTTGTGACAGGATAAGTAAACAAAAAAATCGTTGAAAGGATGAACAGAAAAAATAAAGCATGCGTAAAATGCAACCCAATAGAATGAATACATACAGATTTGGATTTAACAACCACCAATCTTCCAGGCGCAAGGAACTGCTGAGTAGTGTGCAACTGCATAATTGCTTCTGTGACAAATTCCCTGTGTTCTTCGGCTTCTAGAAACATATCGTAATATTCTTCAATAGAAGGCTCTCCTTTTATGCACCTGATGATTTAAGAATGAATTTAATAAATTATGATGCAGATAGGATAATTTATTGCATGTAATATACGATCTTGCAACTTTTTTTTATTATTACACCATATGGTTAGTGCTTTACCAAAAATGAATTATATGCTTCATAGTGCTATATAGATAACACTGCGAAGAAAATGATGAAAATGTATACTAAATAAGAAAGCCCCAAAAAGGCCCAACGAATGATTGTTAACAAGGTTGTTAACAAGGAGGAAAAAGACTGAACCGCGCCAAGTAGGGGTAAAACCTACGACCTTCTGCATAGGAAACAAACACTCTTATCTACTGAGCTGTATGTTTATTTGTTTATTAACTGTATACAAAAGAAAATACCAAGCACCAAACATATCAGCTTAGCATTTGATGACAACCAAAGATCACTGATTCTATGATATGTGCCCTGGATCAACCCAACTGTACATCTAGTCCTGCAAGGTGCTGCAAAAAATGACTATATTGCCACACTCCCATCCTTTTGGGGGCTAGATGTACAGTTCATGACTGGGAGCCTGGGAGGTAGAGGACTAAGTAAATAAATGTCTGCATTTCTGTAACTACGGTTTTTTTATCTTTTTTATCTTCTGTAACCAAGTCCAACAGACTACTCCAAGATTTGGTTATAAGATATTGCTGCGTATTTACTCATTTGCCAACTTGGACAGACGAACAAAGATTAGTCCTCTAGGAATAGATGGTCGTTTTTGCATATCCAAAAAATGAGACTAGATCAACACATTTGCCAACTACAGTATTTTCTATCACATATTTGCAGTGCCAATTACTCTAAAGCTGTGCTGGGTCTATTCTACCAAGGGTTGTAGTTCCACAAATTAGATACCCAACCCATAAATTAAACATTAGTGAAAGAATATCAAATATTGGCACCAACCGTGTTAATACAATTTGGTAAAGAAGGGTTGATGTCTCACTCGATTGTCTTTGTAGGTTGACGTAGCATTTGCAGAAGCAGCTTTTCCTTCTGAGGCAAATCCTTTTGTGCATGGAATTCTGCGAAACTTCTCTTAAGCATGTCCTCCACCTACAAGACAATGCATCTGTGAAGGATATCCTGTTTCCTCTGGAACATTTTAAAAAGAGCATAGTGGCACACATCGATCTAAGACAGTCACGCCCTCTGTAGGGCCTTTTGGCCTTGGGCATTATTCTTTCCATGAAATACATCAAGACGCATTCTAGCGTCTCCCAAAGCAAAAAATATATACTGATAGTAAAGTCAGTATGCCTAGGAGAAAAGAAAATTAAACTTAACAAAGTTTTATCAAGTATTGAGTATTTCCAGCTGATAATAACATTAATGACAATGCAATCAATTATACTTCCATCTTATGCTCATTCAGAACCAGTGCCAATTGCAACTGCCCGCGACCTCACATCAAACAGTAATGCAAATTAAGCAGACTGCAATTCAAGAAATTTAGTTGAATACATGAGTCGATTTTCTGCTTGTATGTATGGCTGGGTGCTTCCACTGTGTCAGCCATTCAAACAATACCTCGAGATTTGTGCACATGCTCTCACGATATATTTGTGGTAACAGAATGTGCGCAGATCTCAATGCACATCCAATGGTAGAGATAATGGGGGCACCAACCCATGCCAGGTACAAGGTGTTACCCCCGAATACAGACTCTCTGGTCAACATATTTATCAAAACATGGATTGACAATATACTGTGGTTTAACAAGTAAATAACCTGAGTTGAGCAGTGCAGCTGTTAGGAATAGGAACTTGTATTCTCATGAGGCCATAGCCAGTATACAGGCAAAGAAAAAATGCACTAAACCCCTTAAAACAATAGGGATATCAGACAGCTAATATATACATGTCTAACAGAAGCAAGAGCAACATATATTTCTACCTTATTTCAGTTTTTGGTCTATAATTCAAACATATATATTCGCAATGCATGTGCTTCAGCGCTGATAAGCTCAAGAAAGAAGATTGTATAAGAGGAAATAAGCTGATTTGAGCAGTTTAGCAAGAGGGACATATATGTCGAGTTTATGTTGCAATTTTGAGTATCCAGAGTTGAAAGTTGAAACATATATATTTCAGAGCATGTGCATGTGCCCCATGAGCTCGAGAAATTGAAAGATGGTTGGCCACAGGAAATACACCCACATCTAAATACAAAACTTATTCAAATAACATGGCTGAGCAGGAAACTTTTCTAGTCGACAGTGAGAGGTATACCTTAAGTTCCTCCACACGTAGAAGATGTAGTATCATAGTGTATGTTAGTCGAAACTGAGATTCCAGTCGAGTTGGTTTTCCAACAAGAAGATTTTTCAGATCACTTTCCTCAGGAATTTCATCACGGCACATCATTATCACTGTACCTATGGTATCTAGTCCTCTCCTACCAGCTCGTCCAGCCATTTGAATATATTCCCCTGGAAGTAACCTTCGATGTTCCTTTCCATCAAACTTCCTTAAAGTATCAAACACGACCTGTTGAATTTGCAAGGTTTAGTCGGAGGCACAGAGCAGTTTATCAGAATCTTGGGCTTAAAAGGCATGGTAAGCTCAAACCTATAAACTAAGCATGAGCAACAATTAGCTTGATTCCAAATGGCGCACAGAAATAAGAAAAAACACTATGTGCATCAACCTGACTACATTTATGTTTGCACGAACTAAACACTGGACATTATGTGTAACTGTCAACAGCAAACTGCAAAATATATTTAGAAAAAGAAACCTGTCAATCAATGTTGGCAAGATACTAACAATACATTAAAATTGGTCTAGTCCAAAGCATATTCAACAGAAGTGACCGCAAACCATAATACAATCACTAGATATTATTGTCCCAAACTCCCAATACACATGCCAAGACAAAAAATTGACAGTTATATCCCAAATCTCAGTGAGGTGAGTGTTAAGTGGTGACTACTTCATGCTTCCCACATGAATAAATCGAAAAAGGACTTCCAAGGTTCTGAACTATAAAACATAACAATTTGACCATTAGCACCTCGCTGCAATTAGAATTAATTGCTAAGGTATAGCAGCTACCAGCCAGAATGAATGATGTTAGTTTACACTAAGTATAAGATATGCATCATTAGCACATTGCAGTCAATTCGAAAAATGAGGAGACAATTGATTGGTTTCATTACCACAGTTCAAATATACAAATATAAGTAAAACTACGAGTGGGTCGACCATGCTTAGTTTAAGTATAATAGAAATATGAAGTCTGAACACAAGATACAGAAATACTGAAACCCTCCGTATGAGAGAAGAAACAAAAAAGAACTCACCGTTCTTGCAGGAGCATTAACACCCATTGCAAATGTCTCAGTGGAAAACAGTACCTGCAACGAGTTTAAGCAAGTCAAAAGGTTCCCACTCGGTTAATTTATAAAATATAACTGCAGCAGCACATGCTATTTTAAAATATAACTGTTTAACTAGTAGCTGACAACACTGTGGTTTGAACCGAACAATCATTTCACTGTTAGCTCACTCAAGCTAAACAAATTGTCCCCATGATACTGGTTCGGCAATGATTATTCGAGCACAGTGCACAACTGCCAACTAGTAGCTAGCCACTACTCACTAGTAAGCATTTATAGTTTTATACTTTGTTTACATCTAGCAAATATCCTACATCATATGGACCGTCCATGAATGTTTCCCTTCAGGCTTCAAGAAGTGCAACTATTAAGACAAAAAGTAGATAGATGACAATGGAGTAGTTAAAATCCTGGTAGCTTAGTACATCAGTTTCTAACATGTAACTGAAAGACGAAAAGAGAAGTCCAGTTTACCCTCACAAGTATAATACTTGGCGCACTTAAACCTCTCAACTATCAAACCTGACATCTGATCTTCCCAGCTTCCAAAACCAGTGCAGAAAACCCTTTAGAGCGGTTTCGCGAGGTGGTTTTGCAACTGTGCTAATAGCTCTTCACGGGTGGAGCTCCGGCTTAGATAAGTAGGAAGACTGCACAGCCATGTCAGGACCCCACATGGACACATAGCATCATGTTCCACTCACTCTCTTCAGGCGAGAGACACCATTGGAGACGATCGGAAAATCAGCTGGGAGGAAGAGTACAACGCTAGTTGGCAGTATTTGAGATGAGCTCGGCTCCATGTGAGCAGCAGACCTGCACCACTGGACTCGAGACACAAGCAGCATACGGGTCAATCATTATCAGCTCCAGATCCGCGCTCGGGTTGAGGAGATAGTTCCACCATGCCATGGCACACGGGAGCTTCATCCTGCTCCGAGTCAGTGCGGAGTGTAGCGAGCTCTGGAAGGCATGGAGGAGCACGCGGCCATCGAGTAAGGAGGTGATGGCTAACAAAGAGGAGCAGGTGGCGGTGGCCA